CTGTCAACAATGATTTAATTGTTCACCCCACACAGGTTTAGAGCTGATGCAACCAGAGGGCTGTAAATTCCCCTGTTATCTAGAGATCAAGAAACAACAGTAAGGCTCTGCTGGGAGAGACATGGCTCCTCTGTTAAAACGGCTGGTGTGAGGTTAACCAAAGATTGGACAAAGGGGAAAAAGCACAGCACGGAGTAGAAGCAAAGCAGCCGTGGACCAAGACACCTCACGACTTTGTTCTCACGACTGGAAGGGTATCGGCGGCGAGCAAAGATGAGAAAGAAGGTCTTGAAAACATCTAGAGCCCTGCTGAGGAATTACTCCCAAGTCATTAAGGATGACTGATGATGACACACACACAGTGGCCACAATTTTAGACCCAGTGGTCACCTGACCTTGGCTGACTGAAAGAAATCTAGTCTTTTCCCATGTGATGTAGGGGCTGAGTTCTGAAATAGAAGCAGCAATGCACACTGAGGCTGGTTAGGGGCAGGCAATCTTAGGAGACGAGACTATCAACCCTTCTCCAGGTGCTGCTGATCTCTCCTGCTGTTACCTTGGCCCTCCAACTGATTTTCATATGTCTACTGATTCTTATAACAGAAACTTCTGGAAAGATGTTTTTTTAAAGAGTTTTCAGAGGCATTCCCCACAAAATCGAGACAAACCAAAACTAACGGCTTTTCTAAAGAACGAATCCAGTTCACTGGTGTCTATTAAGTGTCTAAACATATCCCAACAGATATTTGTTAGAAGACAGTATGCGCCACCACCCTGAGAAAATACTAATTACATTTTAATGTACATAAAGAACTCGAGCTCAAAACTTGACATAACAAAGAATTCCTTATTCTACCAATTCAAATGTATACCACTTAGGTGGAAGACAAAACCAGGGCCGCCTATAAAATGCTTTAGTTTCAGGGGCGCCTGGGTGGCTCAGTGGGTTAAGCATGTGACTTCAGCGCAGGTCATGATCTTGCAGTTTGTGGGTTCAAGCCCCACATGAGGTTCTGTGCTGACAGCTCGGAGGCTCGAGCGTGCTTCCGATTCTGGGTCTCCCTCTCTCTCTGCCCCTTCCCTGCTCGCGCTCTGTGTCTCTCCGTCTCTTTCAAAAATAAATAAACATTTTTAAACGCCTCATTTTTAGAGCAGTGGGAACTAGGAATGGGTAGTGCTACTGCTGACAGTGGTAGCAGCAGGGAATTTTCTTGACAAGGTGCATGTACTGGGCACTGGGCACCGCACCTACATGCATCATCCTACTTGTGGGAGGCGGCTGATTATAGGGATTCGATATATACATTCTTGACTCAGCCTGCTTGATTTTGAATGCAGACCCTGCCATAAATCAGCAGTGGGATAATCGATGTGTTTTGTGACTCAGTTTCCCCTTATGTAAAAGGGAGACAGCAGTAGCACCATAGGGTTGACATGAGGATTGTTAGCATGTGCTAAAACGGCACCTAGATAATAAAAAGCATTCAAAAAGAAAAAAAGCAGTAGTTGTTATGATGACGTAATGCTCACAACAAACTTATGAAGTAGTGTTGTTATCTTCATTTACACAAGAGAAAACTGAAGCTCGGGAAACATGAGTAGCTTGGAAAAAAAGCAATCATTCAACTAGTCCAGGAAGTTTGGTCTACAGACTCACTACTCTTGGTCACTACCCTCCATATGACTGAACTCTTAATGCACTCTGGCAATGGAGAGCAGTGACCAGCTAGCATGGCAAGAAGGCAGCATGTCTACAATGTGGGGCATGAAGAGAGGGAGGATGAACTAGGGATTCCTCTCAGGCCTGAGTCACTGACCTCTCAGGATAACCCAGTCCTTGGGACCTTTACTGTCTCCACTACCACACAGTGAAATGGTGGTATGATTTCTTTATGTAGTTGAATCGTTCAATCAAATAATATTTCCCAAGTATGTGATATGTTTAAAAAAAAAAAAACTCTCCTAAGCCTTCTGGAAAGTCCAAAAAGAAATAAGACATCTTGTCTCCAAAAAGATTATAACCAGGTTGAGCAGATTAGGGGTGAGTGAGGATATCTGTGTGTGTGGTGTGTTGGGGGGGGGGGTGTTGTGAGAGAGCTAGAGAGAAAAAGAGAAGTAAATCTGGTCATAATATAAAAGATCTTAGTGGGCAATTTCACTCCCAGTGATTTACCCAAGTGAAATAAAACATATGCTTACAAAAACAAAAACAGGGTACAAAAATATTTATAGCAGCATTATGTGTACTAGCCTCAAACTGGAAACAATCCAAATATCACAGGAAAACAAATAAACAAACTGCTTTATATTGACACAATGGAATACTATTTGGCAATGAAAAAGAAAGAACTACTGATACAAACAATAATATGGATGCATCTCAATACATTATGATGGATGGAAGAATCCAGACACAAGACTTCTTGGTTTATTCCATCCATACGACATTCAAAAACAAGCAGAAGTGATCTATGTGATAGAAAAAAAAATTAAACAGTGGATGAGGGGGTGGAGAGTGACTGGAAAGGACACAAAGGAACTTTCTAGGCTGATAGGAATGTTTTATATCTTTCTTGGTGTGTTGGTTACATATGTAGATATGCTTATCAAAATTTATCAATTCACATCCCTAAGATCTATGCACTTTACTACATAAAAAATGTTTCAAAAACAACAACAGTCAAAAAAAAGTGTCTTTAAAAAGAGTCTTGAAGAGTCAATTAAGTGAATTAATTGGTATTGGTTATTCTGGGGTGCCTGGGTGGCTCAGTTGGTTAAGCATCTGACTCTTGATGTCAGCTCAGGTCATGATCTCACAGTTCATGAGTTAGAGCCCCACATCAGGCTCTGCACTAACAGTGCAGAGCCTTCTTGGGATTCTCTCTCTCCCCTCTCTCTCTGACTCTACCCCACGTACTCTCTCTCTCTGAGAATAAATAAACTTAAAAACATTTTGTATTGGTTATTCTGTACCCAAGAGAGAGGGGATTGAGATGGTATTTGTTACATTTTTTCCTTCTCTTTTGCAGAACTGTGACATATTGAACCACAGGTTTAGGACAGAAATCTGGTGGTGCCAGGCATGTGTTGGGAGATTCCTTCCATCTCCCAACCGTCACATTTCTAAAGAAAGATTATGGTGATAGAAACAAAAGGAAAAGATGAATACAAAAGAAAAACCTTGACATTTTATCAGGTCTGGGAAGCAAAGGAGAGGAATGAGTTCAAGAGAGAGTTTTTGAGCATGCGATGCTGAACATATGATACAAAGGGCAGAGAATGTAGGAGGAAACTCCACATTGAGGGAGGGGCAATGTTACGAAGCCTAGGGCCCAAGTGTAACCTCCAAAGCATCAGAAACATGGGTTAAGAGGTCACAGAAGATGTACAGATGGGATTCAGATTGGAGAGTCTGCCCTGAGCTGCTAACCCTAGAAGCTAGTGGTGCCAGAGACTTCTGTGGAAAAAGAACAAAACTGAATCTTGAGCAGCAGCATCCACTTAAGGAGTAAGAATGAGGAAGAGAAGGCCATGCTCCCTCTGGGCAGATTTGTCAGGAGGACAAAGGGAGACCCAGGAAAGAGGTATGAAGGGCACCAATGAAAGGAAAGGAGTTCAGGACAGGGAATGGTGTTAAAACTGCAAGGGCGAGTGGTTTCAGGAAAGACTGAGTGCTCTCATTTCGATGCAGTGGTTGGGGGAGACACCCAACTTCACATGGCTTCAGTCCCTCGTTATATCTAGAATGGTTTAGTTACTGTCCTAGGTGCTGAAAAGACACACAGGAACATGGAAGACGAATGTTAGAGAAAGTACTGGGCGGAGGGAGAGCTCTCTTTAAAAATATTTGGTAGTGAAAGAACGGTAGTGTAGGAGGAGAGGGAAAGTCACGTTTTGTTGAGCACGTTTTTAAAGCAGAGACGAAAGAAGCAAAAGAGATAATTTAGGGTACAACAAATTCAGAGGCGACGGAAGAGCAGGGATTTACTGCATCCTACATGTGACTTTCATCCAGAAGAGCTAACGATTCTTTTGGGGAAACAGGAAGCACTTTCTACTAATGCTTATTAGTAGAAATATTGACATGAGCAATATTCACATATTGCTTATATATGTATCGTGTATGTATCACAGGTATTGATGCATGTGTGAGTGTGGACTGTGAGAGCTGCTCATGAGATCAGAGGTCACTGAGCCCAACTAATCATTTTATAGAGAGAGCAAAAGGAAACTTGGGCACAACACGCTTGTTTTCAGACATGCATCTTGTTAGTGGTGGCCTGGTCGGGATTAGAACTCGGTTCTCCACCGAAGACCTCACTTGCAGCTAAATCATAACTAATGAAAGTCAAGCTGCAGACACAGCAGAGATGAGGCTTTCAAGTGGAAACAGAAAAAGGTGAAACAGCTCTCCTTCCTTCTGCTTTTCAGCTTTCCTCTTTCCAATTTTACTTACTATCTTAATTCCCTTAGAAAAGCGTCTCCCCCCTCCCCAGATAAAAACCAATCGACTTCATCTTCCAAACCTGTGGTGCTGGCCAGCCTGTATTAGACTCTGAGGACAAAAAACAAAGTTTGCCCCAATATACACTTGCCAGAACATCCACCCGTGTTCTAACCAAGTGGAAAACGTTAATAAAAGCTCCACAGTCAAAACACATGACTGTCTAGAAGGGTCTGAGTTGCCCAATCTGTTTGTACATCATTGTCAACCTTCATTAACCTGCCCTGCAGGGGGTGTGATGGTCCCATGGGCCTGGGGAGCCCAGGCCATTTGAAAATGACTGTTTCTTGCACAACAACACAGGCATATAAAACTATCAACAACATTCTGTCTTCATTTAAAATTTTGGTATTTTGTTCATCATGGATTCTTTGCATTAATTTTGATTTTTCAAAATACTGCACCAAACTATTACTTATCTTGATTACTGACTTTTTTTTTTTTGCCCTCCCCACCACCCTTAAATTCCTTGCCCAAGGTGAACACCTCACTTGCCTCACCCTAATCCTGGCCCTGCCAATGTCTCTATGGTCCCATAGCTACAATCTGATCCACTTCTATGAAAGCACCACTCAGAGTGTTCCAGTTAGTATTTGCATTTAAAAAATCCACATCGTGCTGAGGTAGACCTGTAGGCACAGGAAGTCTGATAAACACACTGTCAGAGACATCATCTGTGGCATTTAAATTGCTACTTAAAGAAATTCAACTGCACGTATCTCGTGTGTTTGATATAAGAATTACTTTGTATTTTGGAGCACCTGGGTGGCTCAGTCAGTTAAGCATCTGATTCTTGGTTTCAGCTCAGGTGGTGATTTCACAGTTGGTGGAATTAAGCCCTGCCTTGGGCTCTGCGCTGACAGCAAGGAGCTTGCTTAGGATTCTCGCTCTCCCTCTCCCTCTGCCCCTCCCCTGCTAGCTCTCTCTCTCTCTCTCTCTCTCTCTCTCAAAATAAATAAACACTTTAAAAATAGAATTACCTTGCATTTTAAATATTATTTTTCTGGGGTGCCTGGGTGGCTCAGTCAGTTGAGTGCCAGACTGGCTCCGGTCATGATGGCACAGTTTGTGAGTTCAAGCCCACATCAGGCTCACTGCTGTCAGCAAATAGCCTGCTTTGGATCCTCTGCTCCCCCCTCTCTCTCTGCCCTTCCCCTTCTCATGCCCTTGCTCATGCTCTCTCTCAAAAATAAACATTTAAAAATAAATAAATAAATAAATAAATAAATAAATAAATAAATAAATATTCTTTTTCTTCAAAGACTTCAGTCTTCCACCAAAGTTTACATTTTGTCTTACCTTACCACTTCTCTGTGTGTGGTGCTTACAGGTCCACCAGAATCTACATTTGTTTGATGGACTTACCTCCAAAAGCAGCCTCATAAAGAGGGACAAAAGAATATAAAAGGCCACAGAAGTATTTGCCCTTCCCCCCACCCTCCCACTGCTGAACCACTTGCTTATGGCCTCCCGACTTCCCTCTCTCCCTCTTGTGCACTCCCACAGTTTCTGACCCCATATCCCAAAGGCACACAGGCAGGAATCTTAATGTCAGTCATTCCTCAACATATATTCTCAAGAAAATCTAGAAAGAGGAAACAGGCAATAACACAGAAGTGGCTGGAATTAGGTCTTCCCTAACCGTGCTGTCAGTTACTGATCCCCAAACCTCCATCCCCTTCCTCCTGGTGGTTTATCTCGCTTCCTCTTTATTTCCTTCACAAAAGGTATCACAACCTATCGCTGGTGCGCTTCTGTGTCTGTGCACCCACTTCATCTCTGAGATCCCCGTGGGCTGTAAACCCCGCAAGGGCAAAGACTTCATAGACCATTTTCTGCTCCAGATCCTAGTTCTTGCACACAGTTAGCTCAACAAAGGGTTGCTCAAGGAATGAATGAATGATGGCAGACTCCTATTCTCAAAGTTTCCACCCTATAGCTCCCTGTTCTCTAGTCCCCTCTCAACTCACCCCAGAGGGAAAAAAAAAACAAAGCCTCTCTGTCTCCAGGCAGGTGTCTAATCGTCTGAGACTAGTTGACATCACTAGTTGACAGCAAAGGGAAGAAGTTGGCTATGACTTACTGGTTGCTCAGTTCTCTTACTTCGCACGGCCGGAAGCACCATTCTTTGGCCAGCTTTTCCTGTTGAGATGCTTCTTCTAAAAACACTATCTTTAAAAGAAAGAAAGAAAAGAATCACAAATTAATAAGCCATTGGGATTTGTTGTTGTTAAATGTCTAAATCTTTTAAAAAGAGACTAAACTGTAGCTGAATTGATTTTTAAAGGTGTTCCATACCAAATGGGATAGCGTTCAGAGACAAAAAGACAGGGTTTTGCCTCTGCTTGTCCAAGGAAGTAAGGAAGTTTTTCCTTTTCTGCCTTTCTGTAGGCATAAGTAAGACTTCAAAATTCTAATTTGAAGATATAGGGTATTAAAAATCGTTCATTGATATCTATTTCTCCCCCACCCCAGAATGATTGAAGGAAACAATTGTTTATAGAAAGTGTACCTCACTGCAGGTGAATAAAAAATTTTTGTTAGGCTTTTATAGGAAACCCGCATCTAGAGTAGGGTAGTAGTGTATCATGCAGAAGGTTATTGACACAATATGATTGCACATAATAATTGCCCAGTAATCAAATCTTAGCCTGACTTATGTTGATGCTCTGATGCTGGACATCAACCATAAAAAGGGAGGTCTGCTATATTTTTCTAGTACTGTGGATGAGATGCTAATAGAGTGATCTCTCACACAGGCTTGGGAGCCCTAGGCAACTGCTGGGGAAGCTTGGATGGGCCTCTTCCTCTCTCTTTGTCTGGTTTCCCCATCGCAAAATGGGGGTAACATCAGAGCATACTTCACAGGGCTACTGTAGAAAGTAAATATCATAATTTTGGAAAAGAAATTAGCACATCTCTAGAACATATTAAATGCTAGACACATTATATCTATTGCTGGTTTTTTTTAATACAATGTTATTGTCTTCTCTATAAAAATGGATTGCAAAGCAAGAAAAAAGAAGGAACAATGGAATATATATATACAGGAAATATCCTGCATTTCATTTATAAATGTAATATTGTGAGAATACATGTTTCATGGAACATAAAATACTGAAAAAACACTGGTAGATAAAATGTATCTAATTAATTAGAAGCAAGGCAATATAGTGTGGGAAAAATAGTTTGTGGAACTGAAAGTAAAGTAAAATATATGTTGACTTCTCTATTCATTGATGATATGCTTTTTTAAAAATTGGGATATTTATCAGAAGAGGAAAATAAAAATGTAATTCCTACAAATAAGAAAAAGTAATTTGATGAGTCTAAAAAACATATTTGAATTCATAAGTAGATCAAAACAGATCCATAATTAACTTAAAAAACACAAAAACAGTATTTATCTATAAAACTCAGAGCTGACTCACCATTAAAGACATAAATACATACACATACATACAAAAACTATACAAAGCACTATATTCACATTTTGAATATATATTTCAAATAAACATGTGTTTTTTTTAATATTTATTTATTTTGAGAGGGAGAGAGAGCACATGGGGAAGGGGCAGAGAGAGAGGGAGAGAAGGAATCCCAAGAAGGCTCCGTGCTTTCAGTGGAGAACCAGACGCAGGGCTCAATCTCACGAACCCGTGAGATCATGGTCTGAGCTGAAATGAAGCGTTGAAAGCTTAACCGACTGACTCACCCAGGCACCCCTGAAAGAAATCGTTTTTGAAAATATGAACAATCAAAATTTATTCTGGGAAACTGAAGGAACTAGTAACTCTAGAAGAAACTGAGGAAGTTTTTCTAACCCATTAGGGAAGCTCGCGGTTCAGAACCATGATACCTGTCACAAACACAAGTTTCTCCCTCCTAATAATTGGGGCTCTACCCTGAGGACACGATTGCCTCTGTGTTTCTCATGCATCCCGGTCAGGCAATGAGTTTGGTTTCTTCCATACCAACCATGGCCATCTCTAAACCATTTTTCCTTCAGCTCCTTGTAAACTAAATTCCTTTAAGACTCACCCCTTCCAGCTTTCAAGAGCACCTTTCCTCTCTTTGTTGTTCTCCTTTACCAACCTTTCTCTCATTGTCTACATTTGTCAATGCCTGCCTCACATTCTTTCTCTCCACTCCAAGCCCTGCCTTCATTCCTTAAAAAATCATCATGGATCCTTTCAACACCATGACCACCTATTTCCACGAACCCATCTTCAGTGATTTGTTCATAAACGAGTGAACAAATGAAGCTCATGAACTTCACATCGTGGTCACACCTTGGACATGTTCATGACCCATAACTGTTCCACCTCCAAAACTCCTGAGTCATACATCTGACAAAAATTACCTCTCCTGTTTGCCATTTCGACTCCTCCAACCAGTCTTCCACCTGAATTTCCCTTTATCTTCTCCTCTCTACTTTTCCCCAGTCCATCAGTGCTCTTCTTCCACACTGTCCTTGTCTAGCTTAGATTCTACCACCTATTATTTCATATTTCTTACGTCTTAGTCAATACATACCAGGTAGAAGTTTAGCCTTAGCTGAATCCAACTCTCCCCTTCTCTGGGCCGCAGCACATGACATGGTTGATGGAGTATCCATAATCTTCAAGGTCCAAAGTGTTCCTATCAACTCCTATCAACTCCTGGCACCCTAAGACATTTCTCTAGCA